GATTCACACTGGCGCAGGGTGCCCACTCAAAGCTTAGAGATATGGAAATCAAGAACACAGTTCAGATGTAATTTCTCTTCAACAGGCTATGGCGCATCAGCACCTGAACACCCCAACCTTCGTCACTGTGTCCAACCCCACTGTTCACACACGCTCACTCTGGATCACCCTGAATACCACCACACACATACACTAGGTCTAACTTCCTCCTACGGCGGCTATGACCGCACTACCACTACTGACTATGGCTACGATCTCTCTTCAGCCCACTTCGTCTTCGGGCAACCTGCAGACCACCTTCGCGCAAGACACTGTAGCAGCGCTTCCGCATGGCTTACGAAGCGAATGAATGAATGGCTGGGCGGTGCCTCTTGATTTATACTTCTGTAACTCGTTGGTTTGCCCCTTTCCCAGGCCCTTGGTGCACACAGTTCCACACGGTACTTGCTTGATGGGACTCTGGCTGACTGGGACCGGTGCCGCTGACTGCATGGGTTTGCACTGCCAACTCGAAGCAGTCGCACTGCCGACGTAACGCAGTGGGCTCACCACTTGCCCACTTGCCTCTGGCTAAGGGCTCACCACCTGCCCACTTGCCTCTGACTAAACGTGAGACACTTCGAAAGGCCACTTCCGGACCTTCCGGAAGGCTGTGGACTTGGCCTTTCGGGTACTGTAGCAGCATGACCCTGACCTTCCAGGACTGTAGCAGCTACGACCTTGACCTTTCAGAATACCTACAGCTACTACCTCTACAAAGCTGCGACTCCTAATCGACAGCCCTACAGATCGAACCCCTACCACTACACAGACCTACGACAGACGACAAATACTGCCAAAAAACAGATCACGGGTTCAAACACTCGGGTGTCGACTCGATACTGTACATGGGCAAAGTGAGGTCTGAGGATCGAATTCTAGGGCCCGCATCTGTGACTGCAGACAGGTGAAAATGTTTCACCATACATGATGCGCATCGCGTGCGCACGAGTTCCGGACATGTGGCGCAAAGCGTGCGCGCACGTGATGAGGCGCACCCAAATAAATAACGTAAAAAAAAGAAAAAGGAAATGGCTGGCTGAGGTAGCCAAATGTGCCCCTCCCATCTAAATATCATAAGGGCTTAGGGCACAGGGGAAAAAACATTGGGGCTCATTGCATGTAGGCTCTCATGTTTCAGCAGAGACATGCAATTCCAGATTAGAGAGGAGCAGGCCAGCAAAATATCCTCTGGATCCAAATTCAGGTCTGTGTTCCAGGAGTTATGGGTTACAACTCCTTACTACCTACCGTAGCTCTCTCTTTCTTTTGGTTACCTTTCCCTACGAGCAGTGGCCCTAAGGGCCTGCCTGCACTAGTCACCACTTGCACAAAAGACAAAACATATGGCGGCGTATGGTTCCATGTTCTAGCAGAAGATTCATTACAGCTTTGCACATCTGGTGACTATTGGAGGGAAGCCCTGAAAATCACGTCGTGGTGAGTTGGCCTGCCACTGCCCAGATAATCACGTGCTCAGTGACCGATAACTGTTGAAACACATACCTGAATGCGAATCTACACCATGTGTAGATGGCGTGCTGCTGGTGATTTGAATGTGTTTGAGAACTACCTCTTTCGGGAGGCCCGTGCTAATTATCTGTAGGGGCCTCTCGGATTACCCGCAGGGATTTTCTGATTAATGTCAAAGGGCTTTTTGTTTGCTCTGTTACGATCCTGGTCATTTCCCAAGTGCAAATTCACAATGAATGTCAATGCCACCCAATTGCGAAAGAAAGGAAAGCACTTGCAAAGAGATAAAGACCAGAGGAGAGGTAAAGAAGAAGAAGAAGAAGAAGAAGAAGAAGAAGAAGAAGAAGAAGAGTACACCAGCAAGACCAATGACAATTTCCCCCTTCTCTCTCACCACCTTCCTCCTCCTCCTTCTCTTCACCAATCTTATTCTTCTCTCAATAATAATAATAACAATGAATGGATGAACCAGAATCAATATCCGAAGTTCCCTCTTACTGCTGACTCAACTCAACAACAACAACAACAACAACAACAACAAGTCCACCATAGCTATGGCTTCCCTCCTTCAACCTCCTCTCTCATGCATAGGCTATGGCGGACTACCCCCAAGCAGCTAGGGTACTGCGCTGATGTCCAAGGGACAACCCAAGCAGCTATGGTGCTGCGCTGATGTCCGAAGGACTACCCAAAGCAGCTATGCTGCTGCTGACTTGGTCCGCAATGCCTGACTCTGCCTCGAGCTTCCTTGGTGCCGCACTACCCCAACTGGGGCCTTCCAGATGCAGCTCCCAACAAGGTAATGAAGATGGTGTCTACTATAGCCAGGTCAGTGCCTCGCCACTCTCTCCCTCAACCTCCTTCTTCCTCCTCCTCACACTGGGCTGCTCGCCATAGCCAGGCTGAGCGCCCAGCTGCCTTCACCTCCACCCAGCGCTGTAGCAGACCAGCGCTAGCGCTCCAGCAGCATGTCGCCAATCCTTGCATACCGCAAATGAGGAAGAGCTCTTTGCTCTTCCTGAAGATATAGCGGCCTACCGGCCTCCTGGGCGGTGACTTCCTAGGCCTAGCGGCCTCCCAGCAACCGGTACCACCTCCCTTTCGGAGGGAAACATCATTGCAGGCTCTGCTATCCTCCGCACAGGCCCTAGACCCAGGCTACTTGGACTGGTACCGGCCTACCTCTAACCTACCGCTACTAGGCCTCTAAAAATGCCAACTTTTTTGTCTTCTTCTGCTCGGCCTCCAGTACCCGACACTTCTACCACTACTTCCGTGGTACCGGCCTACCTGCTACTTGAGTGTTTTTCCCCTCTGCTCTAAGTGCCGCGGGCCTACCCCCTCTACTCGAGTGTTTTCCCCCTGCAACCCTTCACAGTCACGGCCACAAGTAAGTACCGGCCCTGCGGGGCCTTGCAACCAACAAGTACCCTTGCGGATCACACACACACTCAACCGTCAAGCACTCAGACAGGCATGCAAACCAGCAGGCACGCACACATACACAGACATGGAAATCACAGCAGAATGCGGGAATTTCAACAAGGCATTCATTCCAGCGACAAATCCCAGAAATCAGCAGTGTTCTCAGTCTGTGTTTTTGGCGGGTCATTACAGCTCTCTCTCTCTCTCTCTCTCTCTCTCTCTCTCTCTCTCTCTCTCTCTCTCTCTCTCTCT